ATTTGTGAGAAGAGTTATGGATTTTGTAAATATTTGATTTTTTGTCAGCTTTATAACTATTTTAATATTATTTCTCATACACATTATATTCATTGTCTGTAGATACAATCTGTATTTTATTCTGTTCGTTAATTATGAAACACGTGGATAAAATTTTAAGTCATTACTGCGAAAAGACATACTGGGTTTTTTTGAGGATACAAATTTTATGTTTGGGGGTGTTAAAGATCCCCTAGTAGAAAGAGCAACGGACCAATCAATCCGCAAAAAAAAAAAAAAAAAAACAATACATATTGCTAACGAAGTATTATTGGTTGCGAAATGTTTTAAACAAGTACCTGCGTTTATATAAATATTACATGTTACGATAATACATGTTTAAACCGTCAACAAATTAATATAAATTAAGAAGAGGAGAAGAAGAGCAAAGATATATTTTATATTGTTCGTATTTATACTGAAAATGTAAATGAAAATGAACTGTTCTTATTACTTATTATTTATATCAGTGTTTCCCATAGTGGGCGGTACACCCCTTCGGGTGCGCTAGAGCTATCTAGAAGAGCAATGGGTAGTTCAAAGCTTAATTGAGAGTATTGGATTGCAAAACGGGGCGGTGACTGTTTCAATTTTTTTTAACATCATTATGTAGTACAAATTATTGTATAAGTGAATTTTGTATTTTTAAAATAATCGTTTGTCGCCTGTCCAATCAGGTCTTTATAACATCGTGATAACATTTATATTATATTTTGGACTGACCTTTATTATCTGAATTCTATTTGTATTTAGCATAATCGGGGATGTCGACCGTTTAGTTTTATATTAACTGTCGTATTTTAGATTCTGAGTGGAACGAAGAAGCTTATAATTTTACAAAGATGTTTATTTTATTTTTTATTTTTTATTTGAGTGTAACTTTTCTACCAGCAATTTTACTCCAACTTTTAATGATAGCATTGTTCCTGAAAAGACATTTTACTGGGGAGGTACTTTTATAGAGGTCGTTTTTCGATTTTCCCTGGAGTTTTCTCATTAAATTTGGAAAACCAAAAAGAACGGAGGAGAAACGGGAAAATGTACGAAATATAATACACTCAGAATCTAAAATAAATAAATACCATATTCTGATAATTGTTAATTATAAATATTATTTTTTTTTTATAATTATTTTAGAAAAAAAAAATAATTTAAATAATGTTACTATCGAAAAGTAATAGAAACTAACAACTGTTTATTTCCATTTATATTTTCAGTATGGATATGAATTATATAATTACGTATCTTGGCTCATATAAATATCTTCTGAACATATTAGTTATTTTATATCAATTTGTTTACGTTTTAAACATGTATATGTATAAACCGTTTCTTAGGTACTTGTTTAAAACACTTAACAACCAATAATATCGATTTATAATTCCTTAACAATATGTGTTGTTTATTTTTCCCAGATTGATTGGTTGTAATCCAAAATGAACTTTTATTAAATTAGTACAGTGTCATTCGATACGCTTGCAGGTAATTTACACGTATACTTTTTTACAAATTGAAATAAAAATTCGAAAGGATTTTAAGATTCCGAAAACTATCTGACCATATAATATTATATCCATAAATTTAATTCGAACTCGTATTTTAAAAATCCTCGGATAAAAAAAAAAAATAACTATCTATTTTTTTTTCTTTTTGCTACGAGGCCTCGTATGTGATGAGCATTAAAGAACAAAGATCGTTAAACGGACGTTTAGAGAATACTATCGAGCATAAAAAAAAAAAAAAAAAAAAAAAAACCCTTCAAAGTATTAATAACAAAACGTATAATGTATTTTCACCTCGACAGACATTGTACGAGAGAGGAAAAAAAGATTAACGCCGCACAGGTAATAATTACACTGTGGCGGCGGCGGCGGCGGCGGCGGCGGCAGTGATGAGTCTGCGGGCCGTTTCATGTAGGTAACGTAGTTTGAAATTCATAAATATTATATTATTGTACACCGCCACCTAGTATAGGCGTGAACCAATGCTACGAGGTGAAAGCTAATTAAATCGGACGAAGAGAAGACGTCATAATTTTCGAAAAAAAAAAAAATATACATAATATATTGTAATATATTATATTATATTATGTTACCTATATCTATAAAGATAATGCTATTGTTTCAGAGGCGGCTTCATCGATTTTGTGTTTATCCCCGATTCCCGTACCTGTCGTTAAAATGTTGCTTATTGTAATTCAAATTACAGATTGTAAATATGTATATATGTATATGTATACGGTTTCTTGTAATAAAAAAAAAAAAATACCCAATAAACAAAAAATCCTTAATCTATGTTATTCAATTCAAAATCAATTTACTCTCTATTTAAAAAATGGTATCATTTTCTATGTATTCTTTATTTATTTTTGTTGTACTACTACTTGAAGATGGACTTTTTAATATTTATATTAGTCATAAATACACGAAACATTGGTTTAATGTAAGTGCTAGGAGTTAGATATTGGCATAATATTATATTCAATATACACAGTATTCTCATTGCTAATGTTCCTAGGTTAAGGTGAAGTGTTTTATTAGAGAAGAGATTATTTTTTGATTTTCCCAGCTGTTTTCATAATAAATGAGAAAAACCCGGAAAAAACCGTAGGAAAAATACGGGAAAATAGGTACAATATTAAACAAATATTATTATTAAAGAAAATATATACATATGTAATTATTAAGCAATACTATTAACCCAACTCCGGTCAGAATCGTTTTTCGTTAGCAATGGTTGCGTACAGATTACGTACGTAACTTCTCACCTATAACATTGGCCCACTCACGTGCAAAGTATGTCCATCTTATTTTTACTTGTATTATATTTAATTTATAAACAAGACATATGGCATATAACAATAAATAAATATTTGTACGAAATATTTTACAATTTTATTGAATATAAAACCACTGTAGTTTTTTAATAATCATTAGATATAGCAAAGTGAACTATCCCGGATACTCTCAGAAAAATAATAAATTCGATGCATTTCTTTGTGACATTAAACAATCATTCAGCATTAAAAGGACATGGTTAGTTTAGTTTATGGACACAATAAAGACTGAAAGAAAAAAGTCAAGGGGGGAAAATATAATATCTCTCTAATTTCCCGTCGTATAGATTGTGTAATCGTGACACTGTCGCGATTCGGTGATTCGTTTGTACGAGTTCGGTTTGTCGTTTTCCTATGTAGGCATTTCATTGCAAATCTGTTCGGAAAAGTCGCCTCGCACACTTGTGCCGCAGCTAAAACGCATCACGTGAATGACTTACGGCACTGCGACGTTTGCGAAGACGGCCATTATTATTATTATTATTATTATTTGTATACGAGCACGAAAAAATAAAACACAGAGAGCAAAATGCGAATAGCCATATTGTTATAATACACGCATACGGTAAATAATACGAAACGATTCAATAGAGCACGACACAAAGGGGAAATAACGCCGACCGAAGTATCCTCACTCCCCTCGACGACGACGTCCGTGAGCTGCAACCCGTACATTACTGTTGCAACACAATACGCACAACATACTTGAATATAATATCGGTTTACTATTTTTCGTTTTATATGAATATTGCATTATTTTATTATTTTGAGTGTGTACTTTATGCCATAACGTTGCCGGGTGCATCGAATTATTGTTCGATCGTGGTATAGATAGGCACCGGTTTTTATTTGTGAAATCGAAAAATTCGAATTTTTTTTTATAAAAAATGGTTATAACACAGATTAACATACGTTTATACCTAGGTATACGTTTCAGTATTGAATCCAGACAATTTTTCAGGGGGAGGCTCACTTTTTTTATTGTCTATTTAATAATTATAAAGTATATTATTATTTATTTGTTAGAATTCAATACGTTTGATGTTTCAAACATAAAATATAAATACCACGGAAACTTTTTTTAACGAAAATAAGGGAAAATGTTTAAAATATAGTAGTCGAATATTACGATTTTTTTTTCTGTGTACGACTTTTCTATCAGTAATTTTGCTCCGATTTATAACGATAGTACTTTTTTTGAAAGAAAATTTGACTGGGAAGGTACATTAAAGAAGGTCATTTTTCGATTTTTCCAAGAGTTCTCCCAGCAGATGTGAAAAACCGGGAAAAAACATAGAAAAAGCGGAAAAAACGTAGGAAAAATGGGAAAATCGGTACAATATTAAATAAATATTATTAAAGAAAATATATAATGCTTATTTAAATAATTTGCCATAATATGACATATGTATTGTTAACAAAGCATAATGATGCTTTGTCAATGATCAACCGTTCGGAATCGTTTTTTCGTTAGAAATGGTTTGTTGTTGTTTACGGGTATATATTAAATTACATATAACAGTGGTTGCACCCGTCTCCATTATTCTAGGACACCTAGCTTTTTTTGTATTTTTAAGCCAATGCAAGTGATATGCGCACTCCTATGAAAATGATGTACTTATAGAAAGCTACGTTTAATAAAACGTAGCTTACATACGTACTATTAAATTCACAGCCTTAATTATAAATAAACCTACACTTACGTACCTACGGATATTTTTAATTCTATTAGGAAATATGAATTTTGAAAATTAGATAGATACCTAATGTGTTTTACTAATGAAACTTACTGTAGTAGAAAAGAATTTACGTTCTGGTAAATAAGGGTGTGTAAGCAAGATATCGTGTAGGTATAGGTAGTAAAAATAAAAGTATGTTTTGAGAATATGTAGCTATAAGGAAATCAGAGGAAAAATTAGCAGTTAAACAAGGGGTAGATAAAGTGAGAATGAACGTATGTTGTATCTTAAAAAGGGAGTTTTATGGCCTATTATGAATGGATATGGTATATTTGGTATAAAATAATGCGTGAGATACCATTCAATAACAATGTACATAGCACGTGTAATANCCCTCCGGAAATCTATAACCTTAACATACATATTTTATATCGTTAAGGGTAAGTAGCAGAGTGGCGCAGCGGGAGCGCGCTGGGCACTTAACCCGGAGGTCCGTGGATCAAAACCACGCTCTGCTAAACAAAATTTTTTTGTTTTTTTTTTTTTGCAAAAATATTTTTTTCACTAAAAACACTCCCCTAAAAATTAAAAAAGCTTACAAGGGTACCACCCACGTTGGGAATCACTAATTTTACCCTAGTATAAAAACACTGACATCAATTCAGACGATGGATGGGTGGGCTACTGTTGTAGGTGAGTGATGGAAAGGTAGTATCTAGAACGGGAATTTAATATATATCTGTGCGCCACGATTAATATCTTTGCTGACAAAAAACGATTCTAAGTGAAGTTCGGTTAAACCTATTATAAAAGGCCGTAAGATTTTCAATTTGGAAATAGTTACATTTTGTACATTTTTCCTATGTTTTTTCCGGTTTTCTCATTTATTATGAAAACCCCTGAGAAAATGAAAAAATTACCTCCTTAAATTTGATCACCCTAGTTGCTAAAATGTAATAAATGAAAATCGGAGCAAAATTTCTAGTATAAAAGTTGTATACAGAATTATACAAATTATAAAAAAAACATATTGCATAGAAAATACATTTCTCGTCTGCCCAGAATATAAAATACATGCCAGCTGTAGAGTTGCACGTGGGACGTTAGGAAAGTTACTACTTTCCTTTCCACATAGAGTTATTTCATTTACTTCTGTAACGCCACAATAAATCATTGCTAACGAAAATCTAAACTGAGCATAGTTCAACTGAACGTAATTTGAATTGCCGTGATTATACGATTTTCGTCAAAATTTGATTTTAAAACTACAAAAAAACCAAACATTAATTTTTTATCAAATGACTAATAAATAGGTTTCTCGAAAATGTTTTGAAAATGTTATCACAGTTACCAAACTAAAAACTATTACAATTCTAGGATTGTGTTAAACTATATAAAACAAAAAAAAGCTGTCCTACGATAAGGAAGACAGATGCAACTAACGAAAAAAAAAATTCTAAGCGGAGTTAAGTTGACAGTAATATCATAAATATATATGTATGCCATATTATAGTGATTTAGAATAATTAAATAATTTACAAATATACTTTAATAATTTAATTAAACTTATTTAAGTTTAATATAGGGTACCAATTTTCCTAGTTTTCCTACGATTTTCCCGGTTTTTCACATTTTCGGGGAAAACTCATGAGAAAATTGAAAAATGACTTCTCTTAAAGATCTCTAATTTAGAGAGGTCGTTTTCGATTTTCTTTGGAATTTTTTCAACAAATATGAAAAACCGAAAAAAACGGAGGAAAACTGGAAAAATGTAGGAAAAACCCGTTTTCAATGCGGGATCCATTTTAATTTTGGAATTGAAATAATTGAAATTTTATTATAATATGACATATATATTGTTGATAAAGCTACTGCTAACTATTAACTACTATTATTGTACTATTAACTGAACTTTGCTCAGAATCGTTTTTCTGTTTAATAGTTTATCGTTTTATAAATTACTTATAACAGTGGCTGCACCCAACCCTATTAGGATGTATTTTATAAATTATTATTTAATCAACTTTCAAAAAGGTAGTAATTTTAATTTGTCTACGACCCCTAATAGCAACATTTTGATTATTCTTTTTAAATAAAATTATAAAACTCGGTAGGTAATATTAATTAATAATTTGAAATTCAACGAATAATTTGGAAAATATCAACGTCAATGTCATCTATGTACGTTCGCGACGCACCAGATAATGTTAAGACATTATCTTATACAGTTTAGATATTATAGCCAGAGATACTTTTATGCTATAATGTGTTCATAAGCAAAAAAGCCGTAAGTCAAAACAAATTTAAAAGTGAGATAAACACATAAAAAAAACCCGTAAAAATAATTTTATGCACCCAACCTTACCAGCATTTGACCTACAACAGTGTCGCACGTTATTTTGTATATTTTTTGATCGTGTAATCGACGTTCCTGTCATATTTGTGGTTGAATTTGTACTCGTAGTACAGCTCCTAGTGTGATCCACCTAAGGCCAGTCGTCATTATATTGTTATATTCTTTTATTATAAACTATATTAGTAGTATATACGGTTTTGATAACCACTCCTTAACGTTTATAGTTTATTGTGTCTGTCAGCGTTGTTATACCTGATATTTGCTGTTTTAATACAGATCTTTATCCTTTACACTATTCGTGGATGTTTCATTACTATCTTATCATATAAGTTTTAGTTTATTTGCTTCTTTTAGCCTATTTTTTTTTTTTGTTTAGTTTGAACCTCATTAATTTCTTCCGGTTAATTTGTTTTAACTGATTTTTTCTTATTTTTTTTTTTCTTTCTTTCTCTCTTCTTGTCCTTCACTTGTATATTTTACTATACCTTCTTAATGCAAGGAGCCGGGAAACGGCCGACGAAAGTCCCTGACCGGTACAACCCCAGTGCTTCTTACCGTACTCCTTCCATACTACCTACTTTCGACCTATCTCTAAACATGTCTGACAACGAAAGTTCTACCGCTCGCTCTATTTCCCCCCCCTATTGAAGACTGTCAACCTGACCTACGCTCTTTATTACTTCAGTTCCATACAGACTCCAAAAAGCAATTTAAAGAGTCCCAAAGACAATGTCAGAATTCTTTCCTCGATCTCAAAAAGGATATGACAGAGATCAACACTAATCTATTATCAATACTGGAGAGTACTCAAGCTGAGTGTAAGGCCTACACTGATAAACAAGTGTCAGACGTACGGTCCGAACTCAAGTCTGATCTAGCTAGTTTTTCTGATCGCTTGTGCTCAGTAGAGGGTCAATCTGCCCGGTTAGCTGCTCTCGAAATCGCTTTTGAAAAAATGAAAGTCCCCACTACAAATTCTTTTTCTAATCTCCCTGTAACCACTCAATCTCTGCTCGGGATAGATAGTCCTAAAAAAACAAGATACTCTTTCGGCCCTCAAATTCCTTCTTCTACTTTCATTGCCCCACCCAAACCAGTCTCCACCAATTTTCAACCCGCTCTTTCTCATAATCAACACGCTCTTTTAAATCCAACCCTCACACAAAATCAACTACCCCCCCTTTTAAATCAAGATAACGTTCATAATTCTCAACTTTATTCTTCTAACAATAGTTCTATTTTCTCTCAAGAAAAATACTCTGATGTGATCCCTGAATTTAATGGTAACCTCACCCCTACTCATCCTGAAGCTTTTCTTGTCGAGATCAATGACTATTTCCAGTTTCAAAATATCCCAGACTCTCTTAAAATTAACATGGTCCGAAGACGGATGACTGGTGATGCCAAACAATGGTTCCATGCCCTCACTCCTCCTCCTACCACTTTCCATGATTTCACCGTACTTTTCCGTCAACATTTCTGGTCATACAATAAACAATTAATGACCCGTAATGAACTCTCTCGTCCTTACTCTCATCGCGATACGTCCTCTCTTCAAAAACATGCAATAGAATGGATCAATAAAGCCAAATACCTTAATCCCCCCATGGAAAACGAAACCCTAATTTTTCAAATTCTCTCTCACTTCCCAGAAACAGTAGCTAGTCCTTTAAGAATTCTCCGTATCAAAACCCTTAATGAACTCATTGACCACCTTTCATATGCTGAGCATTCTTACCGTCCTAACAATAATTCTTCCAATAATCCTTTAAATTCATATGACCACTCTCAAAGTAATCGACCTAATAACACTAATAATAACTCCTCCAACCGTAATAATAATTATCAAGACAGATATCAAGGACGTCCCCCTTATAGTAATGACCGCCGCCACAATCCTCCTAGTAATCTTACATCAAATACTCCCAACACTTCTAGTACTTCTAATACCTCTCAAAACCCTCCTACGGGAAACGCCCAATGACCAGTCTTGTGAGGAAAGCTTCTGGTCCATTTCCCAACATTCCTCAATTAAACATTCTCTCTCATCCGTTAAGTCCCGAACAAAAAATTGCACCATTACTTAGTTTTCGCCCCAAAATCGACATCTCCATATTTAATAACTCCTATACTGTCCTTCTTGATTCTGGTGCTTCTGTCTCTGCTATATCTGAAACACTTTACAATATTTTAAAAAATGATCCCTCTAAATTTGATATTCCCTCTTTCCCTCTTTCTAGTATATTCTTAAAAACTGCAATCTCAAACCGGTCTGTCAAAATTAATTCCCAAATCTACTTACAATTTAATATTAACAACTTTAAAACGCACGCAATTTTCTTAATAGTTCCCCATCTATCCACTCCGCTTATTTTAGGTACTGACTGGTCTGTTAACAGTAGTAATAATCTAATATACTCCCTGAAACATGTTGAACTAGAAGACCTCTGTTTAAATTCTGTAGTCAATGAACCCCGTGAAAGCTTGTTTCCTTTCCCTCTAACAAAAAATGTTGCTCTTAATGATATTCCTCTTGATGAACAACAACAACAGTTATTAGAATCGCTAATTAATAAGTATGATCACATTTTTCAGGATCGTCCAGGGTTACATAATTCTTTTTCATATAAGTTCAATGTTCGTGAACATCAGCCTTACAAATTAAAACCCTACCCTGTTCCGTTTTCTCGTCGTTTCGCTGTTCAGCAGGAGATCGACAAGATGCTTAATTGGGGGGTTATTGAAAGATCTGATGCACCTTATAATAATCCTTTAGTCACTGTAGTAAAACCTGACGGTTCTATCCGGCTTTGTTTAGATGCCCGAAAGCTCAATAGCATTATTCTCCCTACCCGTGACAGTTCTCTTCCCATTGATGAGATTTTAGCTAAATTTAATAGTAAAAATGTTTTTACCACTCTTGATTTTACTTCTGGTTATTGGCAAATTCCCCTTGACCCTTCTGTTCGCCAATATACTAGTTTTTTATATGATGGCAGGTCTTACCAGTTTTGTGTTGTACCGTTTGGTCTCAACATTTCTAATGCCGCTTTTGGTAAAGGTTTGGAAGCTGCCTTAAACAATTTTACTGTCCCATGTCCTTTCCCTAATGATATCCACACGTATGTTGATGATATACTTATTTCTTCTCAATCTTTTCAAAATCAATTAATTAGTCTTGAATGGATTTTTCAAAAAATTTCTCTCTCGAATCTTACTCTTAAATTTAAAAAATGTCATTTTCTTAAAGCTCAAATAAAATTTCTTGGTCACTTCGTTTCTTCCAGTGGTACCATAATGGACCCTGACAAAATAATAGCTCTTAAAAATTTTCCTGAACCCCGCAACAGAAAAGATCTTCAATCTTTCTTTGGTTTCTGTAATTTCTACCGTAAATNGCCGGATCAATGTTTAGAATTTTAGTTTCTTTGGATTCAGAAAAATTATCTTGTTCATTTACTAGTAAGTAAATAGGATCTATGTATGCGTATCCATTGTATGCGTTTCAAATGTTATAGTTTAGATATTATAGCTAGAGCTACTTTTATGCTATAATGTGTTCATAAGCAAAAAAGCCGTAAGTCAAAACAAATTTAAAAGTGAGATAAACACATAAAAAAAAACCCGTAAAAATAATTTTATGCACCCAACCTTACCAGCATTTGACCTACAACAGTGTCGCACGTTATTTTGTATATTTTTTGATCGTGTAATCGACGTTCCTGTCGTATTTTCGAATACAATAATTCAGATGTTTCTGTATAAAAAAGAAAATAAAGTTTTTTCCAAAACTGCATTTTTCATAACAAGCGATTTTCTAATGGTATCATTATTTAATACATTAATTTAAATCAGTCAAGAATATAATAACTAGATTGTGGGTGCTAGGGGGTTATTAGCGCTGCTAGAATTATATAAACATTTATACAATTAAACGTATTACAAGTGTCGTTTAAAGAAGATCGTTGAGGCCCTGTCCAATCTCTAAAATGAGTTTCTCCATTATTATAATAAATATATTTTTACATTAAATAAGATAAGGTACTCACATATTTATCAATAACTCTTTTTATTTTATTTTTTAATCAATTAATTTTAAATTTTGCTTAGGTGGATTTAATAGTAAATAATTTATACTTGATTTCCTATAGTGCCGGATCAATGTTTAGAATTTTGGTTTCTTTGGATTCAGAAAAATTATCTTGTTCATTTACTAGTAAGTAAATAGGATCTATGTATGCGTATCCATTGTATGCGTTTCAAATGTTTCAATAGTATATGAATTGCTTGTAAAATCCGAAAAATAATAAGAATTTTAAAAAGTATTAACAATGTATTGCAACTTGGTAATAGTTGCATATGTTGATCAATAGCATCCGGTAAACTTTTCACAAATGAAGATAACTCATTAGGGCATATTACTGATGTTTTAGCATTAGTTGTCAGCAACTCAATATGTGTAGTCTGAACAATAATCATTATTACTTATTTATGTTATATTTAAACGTAAGAATTTAAATTATAATAAAATTTGTTTCATTCAAATTAACATTTTTTACATTTGTTGACTTCTACAATAAATGTTATTAAATATATAATTTTGAAAATTAAAACAAAGTAGTTAGGTATCCGTCAATATGATGTTTGTCATTATTTACACTATTGTAAAAAATCCACTAGATGATAGCATCTAGTGGATTTTTTGAGAAAGATCATTGGGACATTTTTATTGCCGTGTCTCAAAATTTGTATTCTGAAAAAAATTGTATTCTTAAATATAATTAAATCTATTCTAAACGGTCTTGTCGCAACGCCACTGACGCTTACGTCATATACCTATACCTTACCCTATACCTTAGTATAGGGTCTGTTAGACTTTTAATAATGTAGATATAATCATAATTATTATTCTACTTACCATTGAGACTTATGTTTCCATTTTTGGAATTTGTTTACTCATTTTCTCCCATTTTCTGGTCTTTGCTGCTGTTTTTCTTTTATTTTCAGCACTTCTTGGTATTTTTTTATTTGAAGACATTTCAATTTATAATTTCATACCCACACAACAAACTACTAGTCAGTTACTCAGTTCACAGTTAGTTGTCACATGAATGTTATCACACAATAGTTTGCGAACTTTTAAACGATATTACCAGTGTGGCAATGTCGGAGTAATATTCCGTTGTGGTCGGCCAACGGCGATCGTC